TACACACATCACGGTTGCTTTTTTTTTTTTTTTTTTGCCCGCGCATCTGGGATTACCGCACCGGGCAGCGTACTGCGCAGCGCACTTCACTTATGCGCCGCAAGTATGCTTTGGAAGTTTGGACTCGTTACCTTTTTTTTTTTTCCTTCGGCCCCCGCCGGGCAAGTGGTCCAGGGCCACTCTGGTCACCTAGATTTTAACTAACTTGTTTACTTAAATTATTTTTGTGTTTGTCATGCTGTTTCGCGTGAATGTGAATGCCGAGTGGTGTTGTATATCTGTCCGTGTGCTCGCCTGTGAAGCTCTAAGCCCGAAGTCTGAGTCTGTTTGTTAACTTTGTTTTGCCGCAGTGTGTGCCTGTGCCTCAACATACCGGTTGATGGATTAGTGTGGGCTCGAGGCTAGGGCTGGAATTAGGCAGTAGGATGACATACCAGAGTGAGTTGGTTCGCCAGGGACAAAATTGGAATTTGTCGTATCCTAAGAAGAAAGGGGTGACAGCTTTGGGATATCATCCGACTGACCGGCCCCACATGATTCAGAGTCTTTATAAGAGTGATGTTTTGTTCTGATCCCAGCATGGTTGGAACTAAGGTTTATTTATCAGCAGCCCACAGGTGTACCGTTTAGCCCACATAGGCTTGGTACAGGTAGAATACGTGAGGGACCTGGTAAGGGTATTTCCGCAACTTGAGTAGGTCAAGAAAGATCTGGCAGCTTTCCAGTAGGTCATAATGGTTGAGTGTCTGAATGTAGCCAGTATGAGAGGCAGATTCAGGCCCTGCAGGGCAGTCACAGACAGCAGTCATGTTCCTGGCAAAAAACAGGAGCATCCGTTAGGCCTAGCACACCAGGGGTATTTTCGTAACTCGAATAGGACACGAAAGAACGGGCAGCTTTCCAGTAGGTCATAATGGTTGAGGGTCTGAATGTAGCTAGTATGTGAGGTAGATTCAGGTCCTGCGGGTCAGTCACAGACTGCAATGATGTTTCTTGCAAAAGGCGGGAGCATCTGTTAGGCCTAGCGCAGCAGAGTGAGGGTGGGTAGAGGCTGGGACCGCCTGACCAAGAGGTGCTGACTGCCATTAAGCAAGAGGGCGATCAGCACCTCTTGGTCATTGCACCCATGAAGGAGACCTCCATGGGTGCAATGAGTAGTCCGGGCATTTGCCTCGCAGTCATGCTGCTGAGGGCGAGTGCGGCAGACCACTTGGGTGAGGAAGGAGTTGAGGATACGAAAGAAGACCTCCATGGGTCTGAAGGAAGAGCGGTAGGAGGGAAAAGGCCTTGGCTATGGTGGTAGCATAGAGGAAGAGGAAGAAGGAGGTGGGAACCGATATATGGTCTTATCTTTGGCCATGTTTGGCCTTCATCTTCACCTTCCTGGTTGGCGCTGCATCATGAACGACCACCCTGGTATTAGAATGCTGTGAGGATATGGATATGCATGTGTGTGTGTGTGTGTGTGTGTGTGTGTGTGTTGTTGATTGTCACCACAGCATGTGTGTGTGTGTGTGTGTGTGTGTGTGTGTGTGTGTGTGTACACGTGCGTGTATCAGTGTGTATTTGTG